CTCTCTGAAGGGAGCTGGTGGACGGGGACCCTCGGGCTGGGGACTCGCCCACACTGGCCTGCAAGTAGCACCCCCAGGCACAAGGGCTGGGAACCCCCACTCACGCCGGCAAAGATGTCCAGCCCCGGGGGAGCGCCCTCGGAGCTGGCTCCCGCAGGAGGGTTCTGGGCGCCCGACTCCCTGGGAGGCAGGGACACCAGGCGTGCTGGACGCGAGGGAGACCCTGGGGGATGCGGCACTCCAGGCCCCTCCCTGCTTCACTAGACGTGGCCTGTTTCCAGCCCGGAGCTGCTCACCGTTCCCAAGACCGGACATGGCAGGATCCGCTGCTTCTATGTCCGTGACAAGCCAGCTCCTGGGCCCTGGGGCAGCCCTGCCAGGTAGAGAGGTGCAGGGGTTTCCTGGGGTGGCCATAACAAAGCCTCACAGATGCTCACTGTCCCCCCGTCCCGGAGGCTGAAGCCTGGGATGCAGGCGTGGGCTGGCGGGTCCCCCCAACCCCTCTCTCCTCCTGTGTGGACGGCCATGCTCTCCCTGGGTCCTCATGGGGTCGTCCCTCTGTGGGTCTCTATCCCCTCTTCTCATAAGGACCCGGGTTCCACAGGGTCGGGCCACCCCGGTGACTCCCTTTTGATCCCCGCTTCCGAGGCCATCCTCTAAAGGCAGCCCCATTGTAGGTCCCATGGCTCAGGGCTTTGCCATAATGGTTTCAACAAGAACACAGCCCCTATGATCGCGAGAGCACACCCCACCACCCCGCAGCACACACAACCCCCGGCGGCCAGGCCCTGAGACCTCCGTGTCCCCGCCCCCCCAGTCACCAGCAGGTCACCCCATGGGCACAGAGCAGCAACTGGGACACCTCCCATCTCAGTTCCCTAGGACAGCCCCCAAGGTCTGGCCCCAGCCCCCATGACAGCCTGCTGCAGGGTACAGCCCCACTGAGGAGGGACTGTGAGTGCCGAGGGGTCCCTCTGTCCCTGAGGCACCCCCACCAGGGCAGGCAAAGCCCAGCAGAAGCCACTGACTTGGGGCCAGGCGCAGGGAAATGTCCTTTCCCTGCCACAAGCCTGCCGGAAGGGACTACCTGCCCGTCCAGCCTACCACGGAGGAGGGGGTGCACACCCAGATTGCTGGGGAACATGGCAAGGCTGCCCAGCCACGGGCCATGCTCAGACATGAAGCCCCATCCCCCGTCCACACTCTCTGCACTGCCTGGTCAGCCCACAGCCCGCACCAGGTGGCCTCCTGGCCCCAGACCCTGGCTTGTGCTCAGGGCTCCTGCCGATCCAGACTCTAAATTCTCCCATCCCGAGACCATCCCTCTCCTCCTGCCACCTTCCTCATGGCCTCGAGATCTCCCCCTTCCCGGGGTGGTGACATACGAGGGGCCTGTGATCCCCAAGTAAGCCAGGCCATGACCAGAGGACCAGGCCCCAGAGAAGGTGACACAGGAAGAGGCACCAAAAGGAACTCCAAGCTTCACCAGGAACCGGGGCAGAGGGATTGGGCAGAGGAGGCTCGAAGGGGACGGTGGAAAGAGACCGGACGGCCGTCCTCCTCACCACGCCTGCCATGCAGCCCACCAAACCACGGGCGGACCTCCGGCACGTCAGCGACTAACGCTCACTCGCTGTGAGGTGCGGCCAAAGCCACCCGGGGGCCTCAGAACAGCTGGGCCGGGTGACAGGAGGCCACGGCCAGGAGCGCCCAGTGGAGCTCGAGGGCTGGGGCGCTCTCCTCTCCCCCCCCCCCCCCCCCCCCTCAAGCCTCTCAGTGGACTTGATCTCCAAGCCCCAGGACGGCCAGAGCGGGTGCTGCCCGTGGAGGCCGCGCTGCACCTGCTGGGGTGGGAGCACCGGAGATGCAGGAGAACCGAGCGTCCGAGCAGCCACCGAGGCAGGAGGCCGGGTCCAGGCTTCGTGGGTGGGAGGACGAGGAGCCGCTGGGACAAGACAAGGTTCTGCACGGGCCACCGGGCCGCTGCGGAGAGCTGGGGGGAGGGGAGCAGGCGGAGGCAGGAGAGAAGGTGGGGCTTCCCGCAGCTCCTGGAACTGGAAGCCTCTCCCCAGTCAGGGGAAGGACAGGGAGCCCTGGAGGTCTGCAGAGGAAGGGGGTGCCCAGACCAGGGTCAGGGTGTGGAGATTGCTACGGGAATCCCGCTTCCTCCTTGGTCTGGGCCTCTCCCTGACAGCCAACTCCACCGAGACCCATTACGGGGAGACCAAACCCCACACCCCCAGCTACACTGGGAGTCGCCTCACGGTAGGGACGCAAAGGGTCCTGGGAGGTTGGGGGCCGGGGGGCAGGAAACCCGAGCGGACCGGGGCGTAGAGTCCTGCCCCCTGACCCCATCAGCCGGGCAGGCCAGGCGCACACAGGAAAGGCTGCTCTCCTGGCGGCTGGTGGGGGCAGGGGTTCCCCAAAGAGGAGGGGGACAGGATATCCTGGCTCGCTTCCCCAGCAGGGAGAGCGTGCCCAGGCTTGCAGGGCCCAGCGGGACAATGGCTCCCACATCCACCCACCTGCCCGGCCCTTCAAGGCCAAGGGCACGAAGCTGGCCAGCCACAGCAACAATCCTGTCCCTTTCGTGGAGTGACTCCGCAAGGACGTGGCCTTCTCTCACACTATCTCAGACACTTCTTAGAGCCACAGGAGGGCCAGAGTGGCTGCCGGCCACCCTGGGCCCTGGCCACTCAGCCACAGGCCACCGTTTTGACCCCAGCTCGAAGGTGAGGTCCCTTCCAAAGACTGGGCAATCCAGGGTCTGCTGACCTCCTAGACACATGGGGGGGGGCAGTCACCTTCCCAGGCCCCAGCTAAGCCACATGCCCTGCCTGGCCAGGATCCCCTCCAGCCCCCAGCCCACGTCAGGGGAGCTGCAGCGGCTGTCCACTCCCCAGGGCTGCAGCATACCTCCCACGGGGCAGGGCCCAGAGCAGGAAATGACTGACCCAAGGTCACACAGCCACTCCAGGAGCATTCCTTCCTGGCTCGCCCCCGCGGGGAAGATGCTCGGCCACTATCTCCAGAAGCCACCCCTGCCGGCCAGCTCCACGAGAGGCCGGGCAAAGGCAACTCTGCTGAACAAACTTCCGAGAGCTGAACAATCAGAATCAGGAAGAAAACACGAGTGTAAGCAGAGACTTCCTCTGGGGTGCGGCGAGCCCTCTTCCTCCACACGGCACCACCGCGGCCAGGGAGCCCAGGCGGCGGGCACCCGCAGACCTGCACCCCTGCGACGCAAACCAGTGGGGCTTCAGGCTGCCCCTCGCCCTAGCAGCTGTCCAGAGGTGAGGAGGCACCGCGACACCTCCTGGCGGCCCTCCAGGCATGCCTCCTGCCTGCGCCCGGCGCTGGCCTCTCAGCAGGGTCTTCTCCGGGACCCAGCTGTGGAGCCCATCCCACCCCTGGGTTTCTCAGAAGAGGGCCGGGAGGCAAGCAGCCCGTGTGAGCAGCGGCACCCACAAGGCTGACACTGGCTGGACTTTGACACAGCTGGTGTCGGACTCGTGGGATGCCTTGGGGTCCACGCATGCAGACCCTCCCCGACGCCCTGAGACAAGCCACTGCTGCAGCCATGAGCAGGGCCGTGCCCTCCCCCAGATCAGCCGCAGTCACGGGGCATGCACGCTCTGACACTGTGGCAGGTGGGGGCTGGGGTGGGGAGGAGGCTTCAAGACTTGGGCCCATCCATGACTCCAGGGACACAGTCCCCGAGACCTGCCTTCCTGCTGCGAAAGCCATCTTCTTTGCACAGAGGGAGCACCCCGATCCTACCTACGCTTACAGAGGAGCCAAAGCGTGAGGCTGAGGCTGCCCCCTCCCCGCCCTGCCTCACCTGCCCAAGACCATGCTCCAGGCCAGCCGGAGCCTGACGCCCGCAGCACCCCTGGTGCCCCAGTAGCGGCCGCCGGCAAGAGGTAAAAGGGTCCCGAACCCCTGCCCTCTGCCTTCCCAGGTATCTCCCAGCCACTGGCCGGCCAAGGCAGCAGGAATGAGCACCTGTCACCACCAACAGGAAACCAGAGGGAGCCCCCCAGTCCTCATGATGCGTGGGGGGATGGCCAAGTGCGGGCTCCGGGGCCAGAGGCTGGCACTGTACCAAGAGGCTGAGGGCTGGGCAGCCAGGAAGTGGAACCACAGAAAGGCAGGGGAGGTCTCCAGGCGGGCAGCAAAGAGGGTGGCCCCAAGGAGGTGACTTCCTTGTACCCCCCGCCCAAGGAATGGAGTGGCCCGCCCTGCCCCACTCAGGCACGCGCGGCAGGCATCAGAGCCACCTGGGTGACAGAGCCCAGGTGCACCCTCTGGGACACAGCTGCCGCCCATTGAGGGCTGGAAACGTGGGCCCAGTCCCGCCCCTCCCCGGCGCCCCCTCCAGCCTCCTCTGCTTCAGGATCCTCGTCCCCTGCCGGGGGGTGGGGGAGAGGGGGGAGGCCTTCCCCGCAGCCACAGGGACCCCCTCAGGGGACAGCGCTCAGCCTGCCACCCTCTGGGGCAGCCCTGCACCCGCTGGCCCAGGAGACGCCCCGCACGTGGCCTCCCTTGAGCGGGGACATGTTGCTGCCACAAGCAGGAGCTTTGGACCCTCCCCTCCTGGGGGCTCCTGAGTCCTGGGTGCCCGCCGACCCTGAGAAGTTCTCTCCCTTGCACCCAAGGACAAGCTCCCAGGCACGCGTCCTTTCCCAGGAGGATTAACACCTGGACCGTCCTTCCCGGGAGGAGTGCAGCCAACTTCTGGGCTGGGCAGCCTCCCCCCACATGCCCGGGCAGAGCCAGCGGGAAGCCCCCCTGCCCCGGAGTCGGACCCACACCGCCCTGGACGTCACAGGACGGGCTCTTCAGAGTCGCTGTTTCCCCCATTAACCTCTTCCTCCCTCCGGCAGCTCCCAGTCGCAGCAGGCGCGGTCCCCGCAGCAGCAGGTGGCACGAGACAGCCCCCCCCCGCGCCCCTCTGCGGCCCGCGGAAGCCCCCGGGCGCGGGCGGCGGCGGTACTCACACGGCGAAGTGGTAGACGAAGCACTTCCAGCCGCTGGGGCGCTCGAGGAAGTTGTAGACGCGGCCCTGGATGTGGGTGCGCGCGAGCAGCGGGCGGCGCGCGCTGTAGATGGAGACGCGCGGGTCGAGGCTCACCGGCGGGCGCGCCGCAAGGTCGGCGGGCGGGGGCGCGGCGGGGGGCGCGAGGGGCGCGGGCCCGGGGGCGCCGGGGGGCGCGATGGGTGCGTAGAGCGCGCCGCCCGCCGGGCCGCCCTCCGCCAGCTCCAGCGAGAAGGGACACTTCTTGGCCAGGCCCGAGCTGCCCCGCCGGGAGCCGGGCAGGCGGCCGCAGCCCCAGCGCTCCTTGTCGGGCCTGGGCGGGGAGGAGGCGGCGGCCATGGCCAGGCAGGGCGCGCGGGGAGCTGCGGCGAGGGCGGGCGCCGGGGGCGCAGTGCGGGAGGCCGCTTCTGCCGGCGGGGCCGCGGGGGGCCGCTGCCCGCCCCGCCCGGGCGTGGGGGCGGGGCCGGAGGGGGCGGAGGCCACGGGCGGGTCCCCGGGGATGGCGGCCCCGCCCCCCGCCCCTGGCCAGAGGCCCCGCCCGGACCTACCGGCGCTCCCGGACGCCCCAGCCCGCGCCCCGGGCCGTTCTGCCGCTTGGCCGCCGGGTCCCGCCGGGTGGGCGCCCACCTGCTCCTCCCGCCTTTCTGCACTCACTCGCTCCGCCCGCTCCGTCCCGCGCTCCTCTGCTCCGCCCCACTTGCGCCCACGTGCGCGCCCCGCCCCCCACGCCCACCTGCTCTCCGGGTGCCGAGCGCCCTGCTGAGCTGGGGAGGAAGGCCCGGGCGCAGGTGCAGCGACTGCTAAGCGCCCGGTCAGGGCAAAGAGCTGGAGAGGGCACGGGCACCCACTTCACTGGAGGGAGGCTGGGGTTAATGGGAGAAAGGGGGGCACCCTAGGGCACGCGCGGACTCACCGTCTTGACACTCGCAGGGCGGCGGGTGAGCTCCTCCAACACCCTGAGCAACCCCCTTCCCTGTGCCCGCCCATTGACCCTGTGGGTGGAGAAAAATGCGGTCGGGTCGGTGCCCACTGGGGGCCATCGGACAGGAGGCAAGCCTGGGTCACTGTCGGTCAGGGACAGCCATTGGGAGCCCTGCCCATGGGAGATGTGGGGCCCACTGGAGACAGCCCGCCAGCGGTGTGGGCAGGGCCTGACCGCGGGGCAGGTCACGGCAAGGCATTTTCAAGGACCTAGGGATGGGCAGAATGGGTGTTTTCTCCTCCTGGAGCTCCACCCTGGCTTTGCCATGGCACCCCATGGATTTCCCCGGACGCCGGGGGTGAGGGGTTTAGAGGCAGGATGGGGTCCAGTGTGTGAGGTCCTCCACCCTGCCTTGGGCCATCGCTGGGCAGGCAATTGGTTCCCTGCACTTTGGGGTGTGGGAGTGAAGGATCGGGGAGGGGGACAGGGAAAAAAGGCCTCTCTGGGGACGTTGCCCAGGGAAGAGGGGTCACCGCAGGACTTTCATGTAAGGGACCAGAACGTACCAGACACTTCCCGGGTCTTCCTGAGCACCCAGGCTGATTGATTTCACGTACCCGCCCCCCCCCCAGCAGAAAACCAGGTCCTGATGGTGGCTAGGGTACCCGTAACCCCTGACGGCCCCCCACGACCAGCCGTTTGTATTCCCAGACAAATGAGTGACGTGGGTCCCAGCCTGTGCCCGGCACTCCGGAGACTGCAGGGCCACTGAGGCTAGGGAAGCTCCCTGGGGAGTACAACCCCGGGCAGGCAGCCAGAGGGAGGTGGAGAGTCTGCCTCCGCAGAGCCCCAGGGGACAGGCGGGGGCATACAGGGGGCATTCAGTCGGTGCTTTCTGAATGCATGCACGTGGGAGCGAGTGCTGTCCACACGGCCACTTCACCCTCCAAAGGAGGACGACGCTCTTCTACTGGGTGGTGTTGGAACACGTGGAGGGCCGTGGAGGAAGGAGAGAAAAAAAGTATGCTTGGACCCACCTCTCCCAGGCCACGAAGGAAGAGCAGGTTTCAGAAGGATCAGAGGCTTAGATATAAAAGTCGAGCTGGGGTCACGTGGGTTCTGTAAGCAGGTCCGGGGAATTCCGCAACCACCTGTAGGCAGGGAAACACGTCCAACGGTGCTTGAAGTCCAGACAATAGCTGAAATTAGCAAAGTCGGAAAGACCAATGAGCAGCGGGCAAGAGTGTTTACGACCTCGATGGCAGGTCAAGGATTAACCACGCTGGCTGGCGCGGGACATCCGACATGGGAGAGACCGCAGACAGCCCGCGGAGAGGTGGGCCGAAGACGCCAAGAATTCCCAGGGCAAGGGGGAGTCTGTGATCTTTGCACTTAAGAAGAAACAAGCAACGTCAGTGGTAACAAGTAAAATGCAAATTAAAAGTGCTTGCCGGCCGGCGGCATTGCTCCCCTATGGGATTGGCAGTGGTCCAGAGGTTTGGACGTCCACACGCTCCGAGGGCGAGGCCCCCAGGGTCCGCGCACGCACATCGCCGGTGGGCGGGGGCCGGCGTTACTGGCCAGGCGCTCAGGGAAGCTTCACTTTCAGGAACGGACCCAAAGCCCCGTGGAACGCAGAACGCGAGGCACGCGGCGCTGGTCACAACAGGAAACCTCTCAGACGACAGGAACGTCCCCCCAGGAGCTGAACGGAGCGCCGCACAGTCCCCCCGGAGACCCCGTTGTCAGTATTTTCACCAGCGTTTGAGGTCGGAGGAACTCAAAGAGCCCCCGTCACAGTAGTGCTAGGACTCCTAGTACTCTTACTTTGGGATTATGCACGGGACGTTAGGCTCCTTGAGAGCCAAGACTTTCGGTGTAAGGGAGGGAGGAGGAGGAAACCCGGGAGGTACAACCCATCCTTGAGTTCGAATCGGGAACAGTGGCATTAACCGCTGTGCCCTTTGTCTGCAAACAAAGTTAGTCTCTTGCCCATGCACTGAAGAGTTTCAGGAGGGGCCTGTCCACAGCAGGATGATCCGAGTGTGAAACAGAATCACGGAGCAGAAGACACCCAGTATCTTCCAAAGAACCTCCGTTCACAGCGACGCAACAAGAGAGCCTCCTTGACCCTCTGCTGGTAGCTCGGGCTCCTTGTTCTGCAGCCGAGTACGGAAGGGACGGTCGTGCGGGTCCTGCCCGCCCCGTTAGTACTGACCTTCAGGAGGAAGAAGCCACAGGTGCCGCACATGGCGCTACTTCCTCCTGCCCCCGTGAGTCCTGTGATGTCGGGGACGGCTTTGAAGCCGGCGGCAGGCAGGGCGGGGTGCGAGTCGGGGCAGAGATTAGACCCAACGACCGCTGAATTGGCCATTGTTGGGCGGCCGCTGAATACGGCTGTGACAGGAACAACCGGACTTTTGTGTCTGCTTCTGTATTTTTAAAATTATGACAGGTCGCCCCCCACGCACCTGGGGAGGCTTGGAAGGCCATGTGCCGGGCTGGGGCCGTGGCGGGGAGAGAGCAAGGGGCTCTCGGGGTGCCCTGAGCCATGTGGGAAGTTGCTCCGGGGACCCTGGGCCGTGGCAGGGGGACTCTGGGAAGCATGGGAAGCCGGCTGGGGACTGCCGAGAGCTCCCTGCGGACTCCCAGGAGCCGGGAGTGGCCTGGGAGAGGGACTGAGGCCCTGGGCTGACCGGTGGGAGCGGGCAGGGGGTGAGGCCAGGTGTGCGGGCATGGGGAGCCGGGTTGGGACTCACTGGGCTCAGGGAGGGAAGGGCCCAGGCTCCCAGGAGCAGGAAGTACAAGCCTGACCCAGGCCCCAGCCGACCAGCTGCCTTTCAGATCCGCCCTCCTGCCCACAGCCCCTCCCTAGGCTGAACACGGCCCTCAGCTCCCCTCGTGGCCCCCTGCATCCCGCACCCACCCCACATTCCTTCCGTGGGGTCAGAGGGTGGTCAAAGACTCTTGGGTAAAATGAGGCTGGGGATGGTGGGCATGTGTGGCTCCTGCGAGGTCTGTGGGCCGGGGGGCACCACCAGAGGCTTCCCAGCTGGCGACCTCAGACTCAGCCTCCAGTCCTCACTGAGCACCCGTCGTTCCGGCAGCAGCCCTGCCCTCCTGGGAGTTAGGGTGCACGGGAAGAGCGGCGAGAGGGGGAGGGCAGGCTGCTGGGGGCAACCCTCTGGCTGGTGAGGGTCCCTCGGAAGCATGACAGCACACTGGGGAAGGCTTTTCCCCCTGCCGCCGGCCCCACGCTTGCCTTTTCTCCAGCCTGGCCCGTGGGCGGCTGTGCACATGGGCCCTAGACACTTGCCCTCTGCGGAGACCCCTGCTGCCCCAGTCGGCGGGGACAGCAGCCCCGAGGCAGGGTCTCCAGCTGCTGGACACGGAACGGCCTGGGCTCTGGGGGGGCACGAGCTCCCCGTGCAGATAGACGCGGGGCAGCCAGGGAGGCCCCAGGAATCGGCATGTCAGGGAGTTCCTCTTCCTCCCACGCAGGGGACCCTGAGCATCCCCAAGTCTGGGCACCACACTAGTACAGAGACCACACGGGAGCCCTTGGGTGCCGAGCTGACCTCGTCTCTCCCCCTGGAGGGCTGGATCAATGTTACGCCACGGAGCCGGCCAGCTCCGACTGTGTGCCCGGCCCCGCCAGCAAGAGGCCTCGCCTCGGTGGGTCTCACGGCCAAGCAGGACGGACCGCGCTGGACAGGCCGTCACTGCACGGGTGCCAGGGAGGTGGGAGGCCCCTGCCCTGTCCCCTCCACTTGCCGCCTGCGCTCACTGCCCCACCTCCTTCCAGGGCACTAGGCTAGGGGCTGTGTGTGGGCCCGTGTGTGCGCACACATTACAGGGCACGTGGGCATGCACGGGTCCTTCCTGTGTACAGGTACGGCACATACGTATGCGTGTGCACCCACCCAAGCCCTTTTGTGACCACAGTGGGACGGAGGTGCCCTGTCCACACCCCTAAGGACAGCCTTGGAGCAGTAGGGTCTGGTGGGTCAGGAAGGAAGAGGCGGTGGGAAGAGAGGCCAGAGCGGTGGAGTTGACGGCCACGCCCGCGGACTCACACGCCCACGCTCCGCCCTCCCAGCCCAGGACCCCAAGTCCCGCCCGGTGTCCCATGGGCGAGTGGCGAGCTTCCCCGTGTTTTCTTTGGTCTGAGGGTAGCTCATGCGGCATCACGGCTCCCCTGGCTCCTCTCCTGCTCCCTGTTCGGGGGAGTCCCCGAGACGGCTCTCGTGGCACAGCCCGGCCCCTCTGCAGCCCTTCTGCGCGCGCGTGGGGCCCCTGGCACTTGCTTTGTGGGGGGCTTGTCTTCGGAAGGGCGTCGTAGCTGGTCCCCTCCCATCCCCCCACCGGCCTTGGAGCCCCCCTCCCCTTCAGAGCTCGAGCCCTGGGGACCAGCCCCGAGAATCCCAGCAAC